GAGGCTGAGTTGCACTGAACAGACTGTGTGACAGAGACTCACAAAAACAGAAGCGACCAGATGGCACAGGGGAGGAAAGAGAGAGGAGACAGGCAGGGACGAAATGAAGAGCTGCCCACCCTGCCCCCACCCTGGGGGGGTGTCCCTTAGGCTTCCAGCTCCACCTTGAGGCAGCTCCCGCATGGACAAAAGGCACCCACGTCATGTCCTGCCCATGTAGTCAGGGGCCCTTTGTGCCAGTTGGTTCTTTCTTTCAGGCCCAAGAAGCTGTGCCCTCAAGGGAGCTCTTGCCAGCTTGGTCTCTCCCTCTGTCCTCCCCTCTCTTCTCCCTGCCCTCCCTCCCCTCCCTCCCCTCTGCTCCTCCCTATCACTCTCTTCTCTCTCTCCCTTCCTCCTGCCAGTCTGTCTCTCCCCACTCTCTCAGTCCGTCTGTCTCTTTCCCTGACTCCAGCTGCTTCCCCAGCCAGGTGATAAGCTAAGGGGAAGACAGCTGTGAAGACAGGCCCGGTTCCTCCTGGAACAACCTGGAAGCGAGGCCGGCACCCCCGGCTGCTCAGGAGGGTAGAACTAGGCCCAGTGTTGTGAGGACAAGGTCTTGAGAGTTACCAGGAAGCCCACATTGTGTGTGCCCCTCCCACTCACAACAGTCAACTCACAGGGTAGGGGCCAGCCAAGAGCTTGCAAACACCATGGGGTTCTCAGGAGCTGAGGCAGTCTGGTGGTCCCCTATCTCCCCGCTCTATACTCCTGGCTGGTTTGCCAACCTGCACCACTTGCTCTCACAAAACTTCCTCTGAGGGGAAGAGAGAAAGAATCGGGCCTTTTCCTTCAGGTAGAACATGAAGTCCCAGGAAAGACCCTCTGGGGGGGTCCTCAAGCAGCAGGATAATCCTGTGAGCATGAGGCTGTCCTGCGGAGTTCGGTACCTAAAGGCTCTGGGGCCAGGCTGCAGGACCCCGGGCCTGCTTCCTGTTAGATACCTGACTCCAGGCATGTGAGTCTCTCTGTGCCTGAACTATAAAACGGGAATGGCAGGGTCATGGTGCTGATTTAACGAACGATTCGATGCAGAGTGACCGGGCACACAGTAGGGACTTTTTACAGAAAGGCTCTCAAAATAGTCTGTGGATACAAAATACTACCAAAGTCTACTGAGGACAGAGATGGGCCATTTCTTTCCTGTGTGCACCCCAGAAGCAGGGCCCTCCCATGAGTGCACTAGACGCCCAGTGCTAGCAAACAGTTTCTCTCCAGAGTGACCCTGGACAGGGCTTCCAAGACTGTGATCTTCTGGGAAGCAAACAGCCTCATTTACTTTTCCCGAGGAATGACTGGTGGGTTTGAACCACCGGCTTTGTGGTTAGCAGTCCAGTGCTTATCCCATAGCGCCGCACACTAGGAGTAGGCCAAGTGACACAGAGCGCAAGTTTCAAGAACCCCACCCCAGCTCCTTCCCGGAGGGAGATGCAGCCTACCTGCCACAGACTCTATCAAGCTCCTTGACATCAGCCAGCAGGTCCACCCTCCTCCCTCCTCAGGGCCCTGGGCAGGAGCCCAGCTCAGCGTGGGCCCATTTCAGCCTGCCTTAGCAGGACATCGTGACGAGCCTGGCCCAGGAAGAAGTCACAGGACACGTGACCCTAGTCCAGCCTTGTGCAGAGCCCCATGATGCAGGACGCTTCACTTACAGCCGCTTGATCCCTGACTCTGGCTGGGGGGCTATCCTCTGGTGCGTGACAGGGGGAGGTTGGGATATCCGACTTTCCTCTTCCATCTCTTCACTGCAGAGGGAAGACAGGCATAAGAAAAAGAATGAAACGTTTCATAAGACCTGGAACATTCCAGAAGGGTTCTGAAAGGGTGCATCCTGGGAGGGGACCTAGAAATAGAAGACTCAGGAGGACAGCGACAGTCCTAGGCTAGGTCTTTAGTAATGGTAAAGCCACATCAGCATGGGGGGCCACCTGGGGGCTATGCACACAGGTGTCTGTGGTCCCTTTGGCCCAGTTGCTCAAAGGTGATTAATTTAAGAGAAGGAGGCCTGCATCTCTATGTGATGTTTACTTAGAACTGGGACGACTGTTTTTTGTCCTTGTCCTACGCTTCCTGGTCTCCAGACTGCTGCAGTTCCTTCCTGTCCTTACAGGAAGACTGGGTTCATATGCCACCTCCTCCATGAAGCCCTCCTGGTTCCCACCCAGTCCCCAAACCGAAAGCTGCCTCTTGTCTTTGAACACCTGGTGTACATTGTAACTCGTGTGGCAGGCAGACATCCACCCACTGTCATCGAGCCGAGACCCTAGAGAACAGAGAACGAACGGCTCCTGGGGGTCTGAGACTAAACCTTTATGGGAGTAGAAAGTCCCTCTTCCTCCTGCACAGTGGCTGGTGGCTTTGTGGATCTTGTATTTCCTCCCTTAGGACAGAGGTTCCATCCAAGCACCTGCCCCTCCTTCTGGCTTCCCATTCAACTCATTGTGCAATATAGGGCCTGAGGAGTGCTTCAAAAAACCCATGGAAAAATGCCATTCTCTTCTAATTCCATCTTTCTATGGACTTTTTAAATCCCATTTGCACTATGTGCTAAGCTCCATTTGAAGTGCTGCCACCACAGCTGCCAACAAGACAGAGGTTTCTGGTCCCTCGTTGGGTTCAGCCTGACTCAAGGACTGGCACCGGAGCGAGTGCGCACATGAGTGTCTCTGAGTCTATACATCCTTGGTAGCAGACGGTCTCATCTTTTTCCTGGTGGGTTTTGATAGGCTAGCAGCCCTCAGTGCCACCAGGTCTCCTTCCTAAAGATTACAGGCCTGCAAACAAGAGCCACCACACACAGTCTGTATAATAAACCCATAGCGCACAAGTCTCCTAGCAACCCTACAGGACAGAGCAGAATTGGCCCACAGGGATTCCAAGGGGTCAAGAACTCCTTTTACAAAGCTGAAGAGTTCGCCGGGAAAAGAAGGGGCGGGAAGGCCTGTAGGCTCAGACCCATGTCCGGGAGCTCTAGGCCAGAGAGAACCAGGCACACCAGGTGCCACTGAGTCACTCCTGACTCACAAGCGACCCCGTGGTGTCTGAGTAGAACTGTGCTCCGGGGGTTCTCAAGGCTGGTTTTCTGGAAGTACATCACCAGGCCTTTCTTCTGAGGCGCCTCTGGGTGGACTTGAACCTCCAGCCTTTCCGTGAGCAGCCGGGCCTGTGTACTGTTTGCACTGCCCAGAAGGTCTCCACAAAGGGTAGAGGTGTAGCCTCACAAGGCAGAAGCTCCGTGCAAACCCCGAAAGCCGCCGGCTGGCCCCAGGGTCCCTCACCTCTGGTAGCAGGCCAGCTCCTCCTGCAGCAGGAACACCTTGGACTTGAGCTCATTACGTTCGTGCAGCACGTCCCGCAGCTCCTGCAGCGTGAACCGGGGGCGGCTTGGGTCCTTCAGCTCCATGGCCAGCCTGTCTGCTTCAGAGACAGCCTCCTCTGCACCCGGCTCCATCTGGAGGAGGGAGAAGCGCTGCCAAGCAATTCCTGACCACCCCCGCCCGCCCCCGCCCTGAGTCCCAACAGAGCCCCAGTCTTCCATGCTCCCTACTCCCTGGAATTAGCTTCCCCAGGGTGCTATTTTAAGCGCCAGCAGGCGGGTGGCCTCTGCTCACGTTCTGTGCAGCTTGGCTCCCTCAGGAGAAGAAAGCCAGCAGCCACCTGCTCCTTGTCCACCCGCTCCACAGCCTGCCCACGGTCCCTGCACCGGCCTGCCCACTTTATCACAGATCACACAGAAAAGCCAGGGAGAGGGGAACCTGGCGCCTAGCCCCTCCACCCTCATCCACTGCCAACCCCCCTTCCCTGGGCGCTCATCTCTAGTTTGCACCAGGAGGCATCAATAACTTTCCCCAAGTTGCTAGAATCCCACACTTCTTGGGGTCCCCAGCACCTGACACTGCCCAGCCCACAGCAGGTGCTCAGGACACAGTGAATGAGGCTCATTGCTAGAGGCAGCCCGGAAGGCACAGAGCCCTCCCAGGGCCCATGGTGTTTCCGGCCTGTGGTGATGTGTTTGGCCTGGTGGGAGGTGGCAGGTCATCTCCCAAAGGAAGGAGCTGGAACCAATCCAAGGTGCCCCCACCCCAGTGTGGGTCAGAATTGCCTAGCACACAATTCCTGAGCCCAACTGTTGGGCAATGACATTGCTAATTCTGAGAGGGTCTGTCTGGTTCCCTGCAGATGGCCTGCAGACCTCAACCAAAAGACTGGTCAGGCTTTGGATTCCAGCATGCCAGGCCACCGGCCTGCCCCAGCCCCAGCCCACCCTCCACCCTCTTCATAGCAAAAGGGAGTCTGTTTTTGTTCTCACTGTGGCAACATACACGTGACATAAAATGGACTGTTGCCTGTTAAAACGAACAATTCAGTGGTGTGTCCCTCTTCCCCCACACTACTGTCTAGTTCCAGAACATTCTCATTGCCCCCAAAGGAAATCCTGTACCCATTGGCAGTCACTCCCCATCTTCCTCGCTGCCTGAGGACACCCCTCTTCTGGGCATTTCACGTAAATGGGACCAGTCACTCCTCGAGGGGTCACATGTTGACTGTCTCCCCTCCCCGTGCTGTGTGGCTAACGATATCTGTGTGGAAAGATGCATTTTGCTTATCCATGCATCTGTGGATGAACACTGGGGAGGGTTGGGGGTGGGATAGTGGTCCACATTTGGGTAACCTCGTGAATAATGGCCGTGCTTTTTGAGTCGCTGTTTGAGCCGCCAGCGTGCCCCGTGCCACCCCACTGGCAATAGATGAGAGCTCTGTCCCCTGTTCCTCGCCAGTGAGGGCGATTTTCCCATCTTTGGTCACGGTCCAAACTTCAGGTTCACTCACCCCTCCCTGCCCCACTGTCCAGGAAATCCAGGCCTGGCCAGGCACTAGGCAAGTCCTCACCTCTTTCACTCTGCAGGTGCCATCCAAGAGGGTAGGGGTCCAGCCCAGACCCCACTCCCCACGATCTTTGGACAAGTCCTCTCTGGCCCTCAACACCCCATCCAAGAATGTTTCAAAGGGCCCTCCCTTCCCAAATAGTCCACCGCCATCAAGTCTACTGTGGCTCAGATGGACTCTATAAAGGGGTCCCAAGGCTGCTTCATGGGAGCAGACAGCCTCATCTTTCTCCCTCAGAGCGGCTGATGGGTCTGAACTGTGGACCTATGGGTAGCAGCCCAACACCTCACCCACAGCGACACTAGGGCTTCTTGGAAGAAGGAAAAGGGGGAATGAAATAGAGTCCCTTGCCCCTCAGAAAAAGGCCCAGGAGAAAAGGCTCCAGCCAGAGGGCCCGAGGCCAGGTGGCTGAAGAATTCCAGCAGACAAGCAATGCCACATGTCCTGAGAGCCTGGAACAGGGTGTTCCAGAAAAGAACACTTGAAAGGCGACACTACACATTAGGGCAGGTCAGGTGGCAGGAGAGTCACCCAGAGCTGCGAGAGGGGAAGCTGGCTGACTATGCCCAGCATTAAGGCTGAGGCCACCAGGGGCCTCACTGCAGTGAGTGGGTGTGGGGGCAGGGGAAAAGATGCTAGAGGAGTCCATTGCCAAGAAATTGCTGAGGCCACCTCCTGGGTGGGTCAGGTCCTGAGGGGGCACATCTTTAATGTCCATCTCCCTCCCACCCCCTGCCCTGGGCTGCTGCTTGGACTCCTGATTGTCACATCCTTCTCCGTTAGCACTTTCCACCCTTTGCCACCCCTAGCAAGTGCCTGGTATCAAGCAGGCACTCAAAAATGACAGTGCTGCACCCCGCCCATTAACCACGGCCATCACTGCCATCCATGTCTGCTTATCAGAGACTGAGTACTGACTTTGTGGGCACTCTCAGCTTTAAGACTATCCAAGAATGAGACCCGGACGGTGGGGACAAGAGGGAGGGGGGATACACACAAATAGGAACTTACAATGTAATACAGTAACAGGCTATAGACAGTAAGTCTAAAGATCAGAGATGATGTTCCTGTGGATGCAGCTTCTGTGCCAGGGGTTTTGATGAGCACATAGGAGTTTGCCATGTACCCGGGGCAGCCATCACCAGAGGTTGCAGACTGGGGCCCCTCACAATTTGTGTGACTCTCTCTGTATTCTAACTCTTTTCAGAACCCACTGCTGGATGTTTTAAATCAGATTTCACACCAAAGTCTGGGGTTTTCATTTTTTGTTTTTGCTTTGTTTTGGGGGGGCAGGGAATTGACAGGACTTGGTCACACTGGGTCCACATTCCCACATGGCAACAGTGGGCCAGAGCCAGTAGCAGTGCTCCCTTTTCCATGTTCTTTCCCCCAGGTGTCCGTGAGCTCAAACCTCAGGGTCACTCATTCCCCCCAGCCCTGCTGACCAGGTCCTGGGCAAGTCCTCACCTCTGTCACTCTACAGGCACCGTCCAAGCCACAGGCTGCTAGACAAGTCCTCTCTGACTCTCTCTTCCCCACCAGGCCTTCAGCTGCCCAAGTATATCTCTAAGGCCCTTCCCCTCCTGGACACTCCCCGGCTTCAGGAGCAGCGGGTCTCCTCTGAGGCACCTCTGGGTAGACTTGAACCTCCAACCTTTCAGTTAGCAGCCGACCATGTTAACTTCGGCAGTATCCAGGGCACCGATTCACGGACGGCCTGGAAAGCTTGGGGCATTTCCATGCAAGTCTGCAAAACCCAACTTGTGGGGCTGCTGCTGCTGGGAAGCTGGGGCCCCAGGCCACAGGCAGGGAACAGCCCAGAGGCAGCCCAGACTGGCAGCTGCAATGGCTCTTCCCAAGATGCCAATCAGGCCCATCGGCGGCTGGCCGACTAGGCTTACTCCACCAGGGACAGAGGATGCCTCAGGTCATCTCAGCTACCCCTCCCAACACTGCTCACAGGTCCCTGGAGGCACACTGAGCCCAGCCAGAGAGAGATACCTGGAGCCAGCTGTTTACAGGGAAGTCTAGGGGTCAGTGACAAGGAGTGGGGCTTGCCCAGAGGCCTTGGCAGGGGCAGCACTCTTTCTCAGGGGCCCTCCGTCATGCTCCCTGCAGCCTCTGGGCATCTGGGGACACAGGGCCACTTCCTGTACGCCCCCCCACCCCCCACCTAGTTCCTGAATATCCCTTTATGCAGACCCTGAACCAGTCAAGGGGAACAACCACTTAGAAAAGCAGCTGTCACAGAGCTAATTCCCACTCACAGTGCCCCCAGCGGTGCCAGAACACAACTGGGCTCCAGTGGTTCCCCCCCACCCCACCCCCACCGCGCAGGAAGTGCCGGGCCATCGGTTGATTCTGGAACACACTGGATGGGGTTTCCCACTCCCACCGCGCAGGAAGTGCCTGGCCATCGGTTGATTCTGGTACACTGGATGGGGTTTCCCACCCCCCCACTCCCCTGTGCAGGAAGTGCCTGGCCATCGGTTGATTCTGGTACGCTGGATGGGGTTTCCCACCCCCCCACTCCCCTGTGCAGGAAGTGCCTGGCCATCGGTTGATTCTGGTACACTGGATGGGGTTTCCCACCCCCCCACTCCCCCGTGCAGGAAGTGCCTGGCCATCGGTTGATTCTGGTGCACACTGGATGGGGTTCCCAGGCTCTTCATCCTCAGGGGAGCACAAGGAGGCCTTTCTCTCTCTCTGAGGCCAAGCACAAAACCAGAATGCTTTTCACAGAGAGACCCCATGGGCAATTATTAATATTAGTTTCTTATTAATTTTCTTTAAAGCCCTTCAGACAAGAAGCTTTTCTTACAGATTTAAATCTAATTGTGAGAGGCAGGAAAACCTTCCACTCAAATATGAGCAGCTGGATTAATCTGGAAAACGGCATGCATGGTGGAAGAAAACCTTTCCTCGGCATGGCCCTCAGGACAGAGTAGATCCGTCCTGCAGGGCTTCCAAGGCTGGAAATCCTAGGGTAGCTGGTGGATTTGAACTGCCCACCTTTGGTCTAGCAGTAGAGCACTTTAACCGCAGTGCCCTAGGGGGTCCTTTAGCATAATATCAGCCAAAACCACACCCACTGCCATCAGTTCTAACTCAGAGCAACCACCCCGTAGGAGATAATGGACCTGCCGCACAGAGGTTTCAAGGCTGTAATCTTCACAGGAGCAGACCGCTCATCTTTCTCCTGAGGAGCAGCTGGTGGGTTCAAACCAATGGGCTTACAGTTGGCAGCCAACCACCTTAACCACTCTGCCACAGGGTCCCTGCTGCGGGAGAAGCCAGCTGTAAAAGGCCACGTGGTGTATGATCCTACTTACAGGAAATGTCCAACAGGGAAATCTCAAGAGACCGAGAATGGAGTAGTGCTTGTCGGGGAGCTGTGGGGGAGCAAGAAGAAGAGGGAGCTGACGGGGTGACGGCTCAGGGAGCAGGGCTTCCTTTTGGGTGATACTCCTGTCCTACGATTGTGGTGAAAGCTATACAACTTGTCAATGGTACGCTTGAAGGGGGTAAGTTCTATGGTATGTGAATGAGGTGCTGAAGTTGTGGATTTGGTGACATATCTTA